TCGAAAGAAGAGATCTTCCATTGTCAAGATCTCTGCCTAGGAAGGTGGTTTCTTTTGACATGGTCGGATTTTTTTTTTTGTTCTTTTCGGCGATTGCTCTGTTGTTGTGACGATGGTGGAGTTTTTTGTTGGAAATGGTGTTTGTGGTTGTGGTGCTAATGACGACGGTGGACGTCGCAACGACGACAGTGAGGTGATGGCGGTTGTGGGGGTATTGGCGGTTTCGAGTAGCAGACTGTCGATATGGCGGTGGTGCGGTGGCTGGGTGAATTCTGTGATGCTGGGAGTATGGCGGTGGTTTGGCCAGATCGGTGGCACAGCAATGGTAAGGTGGGGTTGAGGGTGGCGGTGCGATGGAGGTGGCGGTGGTGTGCTACTGTAACGTTGTGGGTGTTGTATTGGTGGTGATGTCGACGGTGATGCGATGGGCGGAGTCGCAAGTGACCAATGCGGTGGTCGCAAGTGTTGATGGTGGGATTAGACTAGCTGTGATCTTATAATGGACTAATTGTGACCTCAAAATTCGACAATTTGTGACTAAAAATTAATCTGTGACCTGTAATTTTTTGATCCGTGACCAATAAAATAATTTGTGACCTATACAATTATTGATTTGTGATCTTGAAATAATCCGTGACCTCCAAATTTTTTAATCTGTGACTAAATGTTTGAACTGTGATTTCGAAATAATTCGTGGCCTATAATATTTTTGATTTGTGACCTCGAAATAATTCGTGACCTATAAAATGTTTGGCCTGTGACCTCGAAATAATTCGTGACGTATAATATTTTTGATTTGTGACCTCAAAAATAATCCGTGACCAATTAATTATGTATATGTGACCATTAATTATATAATTATGACATCATTATATTTAATTAATTAAATCATAATAAATTTTAATAAAAATTTGATTTTTGAAATTTCAAACTTATTTTCTTAATTTTGAAATAGGAGATACATAATCTCTTACAATCTTACTTATGAATTTTTCCCTTTATATATTGATCAAAATTGCCATTGGGCCTAGTTCAAAACTGCCCAGAAATTGTGATATAGCATACTCCAGTCACATATCCAAACCCGTAAACCCAAACTAGATTTCAAATTTAAAAGTTCAAAAATTTACGTGCATTAAATAATACAAAAATCTAATCAATTTTGATTTTATTTTAAGGATAATTGGTCCCAAATTTTTGACTTTTTTTGTAAATTTTACCCCAATCTTCACTTTGTGTCACCCATAGCCCCAAACCTTTTGTTGTACCACAAGTGAAATGAATGGTCGACCATTAGTTGACCTAGGAATGAAAATTTGACCAAATTAAGAATGGTTAAACAGTAACTTCACATTTTCCTCACTCTAAATAGTTAAAAATAAAATAAAATAAAACTTACCATCTTCTTCAACCCCATCTCACCATTCCACCCACTCCATACAAATTAAAACTGGAAAGCCGCCCCCCAGGGCACATCCAGATGGCAAAGGACGGGCATTGTTGGGCTTGCAAGCTCAGCGTGGGGAGTTCGATTCTTGGATGGAGCAGCTGAGTGATATAATACTCAATTATGGGTGGAGCAGCTTTATGATGTAATATCCATGGAGGAAGGCTCCCTTGAGGTCATGAGTATAAAGGGTGCACGGACCCTGATCAACTTGGGCATATACCGCGATTTAACTTCCGCCCATTGATGAGGGGCCGAAGATGGATGGTACAGAACATAGTCTGTTGTAAATTGGGATACCTGAGTATTAAAAAAAAAAAAAAAAAACTGGAAAGCCATTGGCTCCTGCCAGCCAGCGGCCATGGTTGACCACCGACTAGCTCATATTTCATCAAAATTCATCATACGTTTTAGCTTTTGTATGCCAAATTGCAATATCCAGATTGCGATATCTTCAAACTGGAAGGACTTTCATGTGAATTTTGCTGTATTAAGATCCTAAATTGCAATTGGAATTACAATTGCCTTAATTTGCTATAATCAATTGCAATTACTGTAATTAATTTGAGGAAACCAGTGGTCTCGCTATCGTTTGATGGAGGTGACGGTGATGGTGAGTCGGCAAAGGACGATTCAATTATGAATGTGAGAAGAAAAGTTGAGATGGTGACCCCACTGTGGATTTGTAAGACCAAATTTTGGAGGACTTGTGCCTCTTGTTGGCTTTAAATTTGAGCAATTTAGCAAGGATTTTGACGAACCTCTCTTGTTTGCAATGAAGAACATCTCAGATCTCTAGCAGTTGAGAAGATTGTTTCATTTGGGTTCAATTTTGGTTCGAGTTTTTCTAGCTTGAGTTCCATTCCAATGGCCACTAGCCGACGAGCTTGTGGTTTTCCGATTTCGATTTGTTTAGGGTGGTCATGGTGGTGGTGGGGTGGGACGAGGTGTGGTGGGAGAAGAAGATTTTTATTTTGATTTTTCTAATTTACTTATTTTAATTATTTAATGTGAGAAAAAAGTTACTATTTTACCCTTTTTAATTTCGTCAAATTTTCATTATTTAGGTTAACTAATGGTCTTTGTGGTGCAACAAAATGAAAGGATTAGGATTGTGTGGAGCACAAAGTGAATCTTAATGTACAGTTTGTCAAAAAATAATATGTTTGGAACTGCTACTGCAATTATCCTTTTACTTTAAACTAGTATAGTAGTTGCATCATTACTTTAGAGGGGGTGGGAGAAGGGGTTCCGGCCACATTTTCATTAATTCGTAAATAATTATGTACAAGTAATATTACTCCTTATTTTAAACTACGACGAAGTTCAATTCATGAGACGGTAGCGGAATGGAGCGGCCACCACCCAACCTTATCTTATTCCATGTTGGTTAACACGATTAATAATTAATATTAGTACCTTAAAGGTTTCGATTAATCATTCTGTTCATTGAATTTCCAACCCTAAATCACAAGATTATGTTTCCATTTCATTTTTAATGTATTCAAGTACCTTATAACTTTTGATTATTCAATATTATTCACTCACATCATACCATTGATTCAAAAATAATGTTATTTATTATTATAATGATGACACATCGATAATACAACAGTCTATGTGGAATAATGAGATTTGACAGTTTAATTTTTATGAGAGAGAGTTATATGTGAGGAATGATAGGTTATCACGTCACCGATATTCTATTATAATAATAATAAATAACATTACTCTAAATTCAAAACTTACTTCGTCCCATTAACCGAATCTTTAATAGTTCGCTTGACAAAGTAGATCGACCGTATGACATTAAAACGGAAAAAGAAGCTAAGATATTATTTATCGTATTACTAAATGCCTTTTTAGTAGGACTTTTGAAAAGTCGTAAACTGTTTCTAAGAGTAAAAATATGGTTTTAAATATTTTTAGATAACTTTCTAAAAATATTTTGTAAATTGGCTTAAGGAGGCTGTCACGTAATGTTCTTCTACGAGAAGTAAAAGCAAAAACAGAAACTCTGCCAAATGAACCCTCAATCTTTTTTAAACACAAAGAAAGATGTTAATGAGCGTTAAACACATTGGAAACAACTTGTTAATCTTGTTGATTGAGCCTATCAAACAAATGTATTAATGTCATGTCACATGAGCCTAATGAGCATTTTCATTAACAATGTCATTATGCTGTCCCACATATCAAATATCTTAAAAGCTAATACATGACTTTGTTGACAACTTTGAGAGAGAAGCCAGTGATAAAAGGTAATTTGCTCACTTGTCTATCATCATTACAATCAAAAAGCTAATCTTTGTTTAAATTCTTTTAACATGAATTCTACCAGGCAAACAATATTTTAGCATGTAGCTTTAACAAATAATAATACATAACCGAGTGCTTAGTTACAGTACTTCATAGCTTCGGAACATGTTTGGCACATTGGATTAAATTGTCCCGTTCATACAGTAGCCATCAAAAGTATGTTTTCTCAGGATTAAGGTAATATAATCTAATTAGTGATCCTACCACATTACAATATTCAACAGAATTTTATATTAACTATCAACCTAGAGTAGAGTAATGCTATTCAACATCGCTTATGTTTAAGATCAGTCTAGGTCGCAACACTTGTGCCATTAAATTATAGGCTCAATTAAAAATAAGGATTTATGACACATTTATTAGAACATCACATGCTGATACCTAGAGTGATACTCTTAACACCACTTAAGTTAGATAACATTATTCCGTAGAGTAAGCCGCCGCCTCTATTCAAGCTGGGACTGCTATTAGAAAATTTGGCAAATTTAAATATTGGTCCCACCACATTCTTCAGACTTAGGCTGTGTGTTTCTGGTGCCAGTTTAAAGATATAAAAGAAGGGGCCTCATGCTTTGTTTACAATTTAATCATCCATAGTGTTGATGCCTATCAAGTGGCTAGCATGTGTTCCCTCTCATTGAATTTTGAGGCTAATCTCCAACCAATCTACTCATCTACACAAACAAAGAATGTCCAATGGGTCCTCTTCCATCTCCAACAATTTATTTTATTTATTAAAAAAAAAAAATCAAAGTTGGTTATTCAGTATCCTTTCCAACTGTAATATGTCATCAATAAATCCTCTCTATTTTGGGAGTTTAAGTGAGAAGACATAAAGAAATTGCACTCATTTACAAAGATGCTAATATAATTGAAAGTTACAGGTAATATGGGACAATCCAACCAGTCGTAATGATTTAGGGAGAATTCTTTTGTTCCTAAAAACATTTCCAGTTTACTTTTAGACATACAACTCCATGCAGTTGCTTTCAAAGTTCTGATGTACCATGTGTTAGCACTTGACAGGATAGAATCGAGAACATAACGTGCGTGTCTACTACGCAGTACTCAACAGAATAATGAACAACATTTTAGCTTTTTTTCTTCCAATCCTCCCAAAAGAAATGCCAAAAGAGACTTTATGTTGAAGACTTGAAATTTATTTATACCTGAACAAAGTAGCCTTTCAGTCATTCAGTCACACTCCATTGCTGAAGCCATAGCTCTGAATCAAATGGATCCTAATTGTAAGCCAACACTCACACAAGCACATCCCGAGACAATGGATTTTCTTTCTCAAGCTTGGTGCAACTTCGCCGTTCAGGCTCTCCAATCAGATGTACAAGATAGATCAATCGTTCTTCAAGAGAGATCACTCATGAAATTTGAAAATGATGCTAAAATTCCTTCCATGGTGAGTTAACTATGCCTCCACAAAACACTGGCATCAATTCATACATGGAATGCAAGCTATGATTTCATGTGGAAAAAAATTAAAATATTTTCAACTCGCAGAAAATGGACGGGAGTGTAAAGATGGATGGTGCAGACAAGTTCGTGCCTCCTTGGAAATCCAATGATGTAAAGGTAACAGCTAAACCTAGAAAATTGTGTATGTATCAACTTATTTATAACCATATTAAATCAATGTGATGAGCATGAAATATGAATTCCCTTGTGCTTAGACAAGATTAAAGCATCAATAACAGATGCGTTGACAAAATCTTGTCTCCTTTTCCTCAGTCATGGATATGGATGCAACAAGCAATGCACCCAGAATTGAACTATAATAGCTATTTCAGAAGGAAATGGGTAAGTCCTCATCTGCTGCTCTGCATTAGGATTTAGTTCTGATAGCACTCTAAATATCTGATATTTAACATGCAGATGTCATGGAAAATAATGCCATTCAAACATGTATCAATCAAAAAATGGCTAAAAGAAATTAAGCAGAAGAGAAAGGAAGAACACAGATTACAAAAGGCAGAAATACACGCAGCAGTATCAGTGGCGGGTGTTGCAGCTGCCTTAGCGGCAATAGCCGCTGAAAACTCAAAACTTGACGACACTAAAACGGCAAAAGATTCAGCCGTGGCTTCTGCAGCTGCCTTAGTGGCTGCACAGTGTGCAAAAGTGGCTGAAGCAATGGGGGCAAAGAGGGAGGAACTCAGCAGTGTAATAGGTTCAGCCATGAACGGCACGAGTGCAAGTGAAATTTTCACCCTCACCACTGCAGCTGCAACATGTAATGAATTATACAGTAAACCACTATAAATTGTATGCACACACATATATGCATATTTGATATTCCTATCTTCTGCATTCTTCAAAACCTGCAATTAAAGTTCTTTTGAGCACGTTTGCATGTAAACCATTAAGATGTACTGTCTTCATTTGTCATTTAGGATTTCTCTGGATTATGAATTTTATTGCAATCTTGATTGACCTCATTGCAGCACTAAAAGGAGCTTCTACACTCAAAGCACGATCAGGAAACAAAAACAAATTGAATGGAAGTACTCCGGTGCTGCCATTCGAGGATATCAAAGAATCTGATTTTGATTTTGAGAAGTGTAAATCTATAATATCAAAGGGCACAGACCTTAACATCGAGACCACAGATGGTATGTTGATTAATATAAGCACAAGTTAAACGCAGTTTCTAGTGATACAATAGAAACTATGCTGCTTATGCTTGGTTGATAAAAATAAAAAGGAAAATAGAGGAATAGATAACTTCCCACTAGGGGACATACACAGGCTTTACACCACCTTTCTTGAGGAATAGAGAGAGTCATTTTTTGAGTACTTCACTGAAAGTTGCTTCCCAGAAAGTTAATTAAATAGTTTCATTGTGTAACCTCCATTTATCACCTTCAATTTGCAAGGAAAAGAAAATTTATATCAAGAGGGTATACCCCTTCAGTTCTACTTCAGCTCATCATTTTCTTGTTTATGAAACAAGGTAAAGAATTGCTTTACCACCAGTTCTACTTCCCATCTTATTTCTCATAGGAACCAAACACACTTCAGGCCATATTCCCACTTCCTTCCTAATTACGAACTTTTCTATCTAATTTTCAGGGTATTGATGTTCATGAAATTTCCAATGTTGCATAAAACTTACTTGGAGAAAATCTATGATGAGTCAAAAGATTTAGTATACGGCAAACTTTCCTATCATTCCTAATATGTTGAAACACATTTCACAAAATTAACTATAAATTATCTATTCCTTTTTATGACTCACATGGAAACAGGAAGGTACTTGTTCAGGTCAGTAGCAGCCATACTCAATAGTGAAGCTAAGGTATGAGAATTTCCTTGTATGTAATCCTGACAATTTACTGTTATGACTTGAACCAAGATATTTCCATCACAACATGAGTGATGTTTTGTACAGTGATTTCCAAAATTAACAATAGAGCTCAACTAATTCTATTCAAAAAAAGGAAAGAAAAGAAGTGACAAGTCAAACTATTCAGATGGTCGATAGAGTTAAAAATAAAATTTGTATCAGATGCGAACATGGATATTAGGTATAGTAACCTGAGATCTTATTCTGTATTACTACAGGTTATTCTCAAAATAAGGAATCCAAATGTGCTGAATGCTTTCACAAGACCAAAGGAAAGTACGTTCTTTTTCTAAAGAAATTAATTACACAGTTTACCATGTTTCAATTTTCATCCTTCAATCAGATGATTTTACTAATTGTCTTGTTTCCATTTAGAAAACTAGTCATGATTGTAGATTACCTATGCAACATTTAATTCAGAATTGACCACAAAAATTTATGAGATTGCACTTTTCATTAGGTATTGTTCTTGACCTACATACCGAGTTATATAAAGATTCAGAAGGTGGTGAAACTGAGACTTGCTATCTTCTCGTACTAACTACAAACAAAGGGATGATCAAGCTAGACATGGTTGATGACTATCAACGGTACAAGACATGGTCCACAACTATCAATCAAATGCTAATGCTCTCAACTTCATTTACGAGATATGAACTTCAGTTCTACAAAAATTGAATTTTATGCAGTCATCGTTTGTACCTTAAATTCTTGATATGTAAGTGTGGCTAATAATATTCAAAACTGAAACGTCCATATTTGTTGATAAGTTCAATATGAATATCTGAATCTTCACAGAATTCAATCTTCGACAAGATACTGAACATTTTCCTCTTCATGAAAGACCATTAACAGGTGTTTGTTTCATCCATCTAAAACTATATCACTGTGCTGAACTTTATATTTAGACATACTCACATATTTGTATGAAAATGGAGTTCAACTCATTTCTTGTAACTTGTCATCATCATACAAAATTTACATATCAGATTGAAATCACGTTATTTGGCCCAGTGGTAAATGAACAGATAGATAATGCAAAAATATTTATATTTATCTGTTATTGTAGAATATAATTATCACAAGCTGATTCAAGGCATTTCATTTCTCAGTCGTAAATGATAAAATACTACATATTACTAGGTACTAAAGTAGAAGAGAGAAACTTAAAAATCATTGAATCAGAAAGAGCATAATCAAAAGAAACAGGAAATTTTTTCCAGCGTATCATCCAAGGAAACAACAATGAAGAATAATAAGTCCATCTTGGCTCCTCAGGTTCTCAGCATTGCAAATTTTTAGTAATTTGTCCCATAAAATATTGATCAAATTGAAAAGAAAAAAACATTATTCTGCTGTAAAATATCTGCATGCATCATGAAACACTAACTTAGGTTGTCAAAGCTATCGTGAAATGATGCAACAAACATGATAAGCACTTGAGAATCAAGAAGAATTTTTCACTCCTAAAATATTGTACAGTGCATGAAATTTGCATGAGAACTAACCTTTTTTTTTTTTTCAGAAAACAACCAAGTTCACTCTTTCAGAGAATAAAAATGCTTCTGACCAGTACGTGTACAGCACCAATTGGCCATCACAATATCATCAACTCAGATCTAGACCAATTGTTCCAAATCATACATTGGAAGAGAACTTGCACTTCAAACTCTAAATCATTAAGATTAAAAATTCAAAGATAAATGAAACGACATACATAACCCCAAAAAAGCTCTTGATCATACTGGAAAAACTTGAAAATGAACCAGAATTGAATTGAGAAGTCTATATCTTTGTGCAGAATCACTGGCCTTGGTAAGCATAAACAATAATTGATGCCTGTAACTCTCGATCAACCTTGAAGTGAGCATGAAAGAACCTCTTTATCTGCTAATATAGATACCAAATCAGAATTTCCTAATACACCACCAGGAAAAGGTGAAGACCTCAATTTCTAAAGAATTGAGCATTATTGATTGAGAAAAATTCAAAACTGACCTCGTGGAAATTATGCGAAACTAGAAACTCCTTTAGTTGTTTTTGCTGAGAGTCAAATAGTACAATGTGACTAGGTAAAGACCATTTTTTTGCGTACTCGGTTGCAAAACCAACTGGATCCATCAAAAACTGGTCCGACTCATCTAGGATCCCTTTCTCTTCACTGTCAAATATCAAGAAAAATTGAATCATACATAATATAAATCAAAACAACAATATAAAAAGATCCAAAGATCATTAAAATGTGTTGACACTCAATTTTAGTACCTCGGTGTACAATCCAGGAAACGCATAGGAAGGTTACGGTGCAGGGTTGAGTAGTAAGGTGTAGCATGGCATGGCATCAAGAAAAGGATACTTTCCACTTTATTATTAATAGCCTCTACGGAGAGATAGTTCATGACATCCTCAGTTCCCCTCTGAGAACCACATTAGCATATAAGAACACCAAAAGGAAAATGTAATTAGCATGTGTGGGTGCATGCTTCTTTTAATTATAATAAGGAGAGAGAAAATGTAGGAATCTTGATACTTTCTCTCCCCTTACTTATAAGTAAAATAAGCATGTACCCAACATGCTCTATATCAATCCCTTTGCTAAACTGCATCTGATGTCCATTTCACGAGATTAATAATACAGTTATCTACTTATTTCGGGGAAACCAGATCAAACTGAACATTAGATCCCTAAACAGTAAGTAGTCAGCATCAGCAGAGTACCTGATGGACTGTGCTCATGTATAAGGCCATTGGGAGATTGGTAACAAGCAGGAAAAACACAGACAAGTGTACTCTTGAGAAGTAATTTATATTACTGCCCAATTTTTCTTTCATTTTGCTTTCTGATGGATCAGACCCCCTCATTTTGGCTAATGTATACCCAGCAAACATCAAAGCAATTGGAAGCACAGGAAGGACAAACCTGTTATGCAAACTCTGATAAGAAAATTACAGGCATTAATGACTGAAGGGTGAAGACTGGCCCTGAATCACAGAAGCCCAAATGTAAAGTATGATACTTACCTGAATTCTTTATGGCCTATTAGACTATAAATTCCTAAAACCCAGGCAATCAACCCAGAAAGCTTCCATTGCTTAGACATGATAATGCCAGAAATTGAAAATGGTATGAATGTGAAGAGCATGGCCGTGAATCCCTGGGTGATGTACCAGTGCCAAGCATGAGTTCCATAATAGTCTCCACCAGAAGAAAGGAAATTGAACTTCAGAAAGTTTAGAGGAACAAGGACCCATGAGCCGTACATCAAGCGATCCAACAGAGAAGTGAGACCAAGTACCAGACCCCTGCTATGCATGTTCAGATAAAGTAATCATCACTTGTTTTAGCATTTTCAAATTAAAACTAAGAGTATAAGGAATTTTTAATGGCAAAGAGATATAGGGATGGATTAGGATTAATTTATCATATTGAGAAATCCCATACAGATTTCAACACAACATCTTTAACGGGTCTAGATATACATTTGGACATCAAGCAAATATGCATGAGATAAGTAATAACTATTCTTTTTCTTACAAGTTTTAAAGTTTGAGATTCTTCTGCATTATACTAGTGCCAATGGATGATACACGTTGGAGATATCTCTGCATTATACTAGTGCTGATGGATGACACACTTTTAAATACCCTCTCAAAAACTCCAAATTCCTAATTTTGCATTGTCATGTTATCTATTAAATATTGTAGTCTATATTCTGATCTATTCTGTTATGGTGAAGGAATACGCCAGTTAAGGGACATGCTACTAAAAAATAATTAAACATTGTTGGTTCAAGTTCAAGCATAAAAATTAACTTTTAGCAGCTTCACCAGAATAGAGGACAGCGTGTTGGCAGAGGAAGTTTTCGTTTGCACTTACCCAATAGGAACTGCTTCAAGAAGAACAAATTTGAGCTTATCACATGTCAAATATAGTTCAAGCAGGGCAACATAAACCCATGTTATAGCGCTTGTTGGCCGAATAGCACATGCTAGTGCTGCTGCAGCCAATGCCCACTTTCTTGAACCAGATGAAACACTTGCAGAAAGCCTTCGCAAGGAGGGCCAATAGTACAAGCTCACAAGTGTGAGGATAGTCTCCATACTATTAGCTAAAGTACGTGTGATGCAAAAAAGCATAAACCAGTTTACCAACTGTGCAAATAGCTGTATTGAGTTAAGTGCTTCATCATCATCATCAATTACAAATAATATACCAAGCATATCAATTTACTCAATCAAAGAAAAGTAGGTACAAACCATACAAAATTCACCAACTAAAAAACAGAAGACGGTATTAACAGGAGAAGAGAAGAAAGGGCAGGAAAGAAAATGGCATATAGCAACGCAAGGATACTGCCCATTTTGCAACATGTTTGCCAAACAAGACCTGAGAGAATTTGTACAAGTAGAGATCACCGATTGCAGAAAATACGGACTGCAGCAATCGTGGAGCCCTTGTCTGTGAAAGATGGCAGTAATTAGAAGATAATATTCATTGTTCAAAAAAAGCAATGAAATAAAACGAGCAAAATCACATCAAATTGTTTCTTATGCTGTTGCACTTGCTACATTGCTTTCCCATATTGAAGTACATAGAAAAATAACATGGTATTTAGAAAATTCACGAGCTTATGTTCAAGCAATACAAAAATTCACCATAAAAGTCAAGTATAAATCATATTTCATCAAGAACTTTAAGAACCAATCCTAAAAGTAACCTTCAGGTTTCCACTCCTATGATATTTCAACACTCTCTGTCTGATTTACCAACTAGAAATAGGCAAATATTTCAAAACCAATCCCATATATACTAACAGTTTATATTGAAGTTTTATGCCTGAAAATGTAAATTTTAGAATCATATTTACTTGAAGTTTCAAATGCATGGGAGAATTTCCTTGTGCAACCCGTTCATGCTCAGATACACAATATAAGAAGTTTATAATCAGAAAAATTCAACTCGGAGCTACCCAATTGGGAAGACAAATTCAAATGCACATATATTATTAAAAAAAAAAAAAAGGAACCATAAATTCCAAAAGAAGACACACACCCCTCTAAAGAGAGAGCAGAATTACCATGAACAAAGGGGTATCAAGATGGAAAAAGGCCAGAACTTTATAAAGAGCTGCAAACAGCACCGGATGCAAGTAAGTCCTTATACCCTTTTTCCATTCCCAGGTCAGATGCCCATACCTACATTCAATATAGAAGGAAAAAAAAGTCCATTTCAAAACACAGAAAAAAAATCACATTAGGAAAATTTAACTTTTGATTGGAAGTGTACTGACCCGAAAGTGATGCGGTGCCCTACTTCAAGAGCTTGCCAATGCTCATCTGGGTTGAAATATGTTTGAACTAATAATGAGTTGATCATTCGTGTAACCAAACATAGCATAAAGATTTTCTTTAGTGACAGTGAAGATTTTTTTGGTAGACAATTTGTTGTGGTGGACTTCCCGTTATTTTCATCATCGTCAGATGCTTTTGCAGAGATCTTCCTGTGTCTCATTCTCTTTTGCTTTGGGCAGTGGTGTTATTTTGATGTGTCTTGAGCTTTTGAATGAGAGTTAAGGTGGAAATCTTGAACAGTTATAGCCGGATCGGCCGTAGGGTGGCTGTATGAACAGGGGTGGACCTAGAACAACATTCTCTTCTTCAATTTCGACTTACATGTAGTAGGTTCACCATCTTTAACCATGAACCGAATATATATTAAAGTAAAAGCAACAAAGATTGAATATGAATTCAACCAAAATCGCATGGTAATAGTGCGAAGATGAAAATCGAACCCAAAAAGCCCAAAATCGTAGAGGGAGTTAAGGTTATGTTTTCTACAACAAATGATTTTACATTTTTGACCCAAGAGAAAGTTTATATTTACAAGGACGTAAATTTCATTTTTCCCCCCCAAATTGGAGGACACATTTTTCAACTTCTTCATATATGGGGGGGGCATATGAAGCGTATTTTTTTCTTTTTCTTTTTCCATTTTTTCTCATCATATTGGGTTTGTTTGAATTCCATTTTTTGGAGAATAGATTTTGTAATAATGATTTTTTGAAGGATGCATGGCTAAAAAGTAGATAAATAACCAACTTATTTAGAATGTTTTATTTAGAAGAAAAATAAAAACTAAAAATTGGTAACATGGGCGGATTCAGTATGGGGCACTAAATTTCAATCCCAAGACCTTAAACTAAGGTTTTACAAGATTTTGAGCAAGATTTTCAAAAAAAAATCTTATAATTTTCAATTTTGCCCTTACAATTAAAATTTTGTGAAATTTACCCCCACAACTCTTTTATCCTAACTCCTTCCTGTTCAGCTATATGTGGTTTTATCACAAATAAAGGATTTTGTTTCATCCTGGATTTCAACTAAAAGATACCTTGTCTTTTGATTAATGTGAACGTCATTCCAATTTTCAGAATCCTCAAAATTCAAATAAAAGCAATTTCTTGATTTACAGGGACAGATCCAGGACATGATTATAGGTCAGGCTAATAGGGGAAAGAAAATTATACATGATTTTTTTTTTTTACATAAATTTTTTATTTAACTAAAAAAAAAAAAATTTGGGGGGGGTGGGAGAGGGGGCTACAGCCCCCCCTAAATCTGTCCCTGTTGATTTAAATCTTCATATTGAACATTATTTTCATCATTTTGCCTTGATTCATCCACATTGGCAGGTTGAATCATTTCCTCGTTCTCTTTCTGTCCATCCACATTATCATTATCATTCTGATTCTGTTGTTCCTCACAACCTTCATTCTCTTTTCTTTTCTTGTTATTAAAATATTTATCTATATCTCCAGTCTGACTTCGAATTAATGCCTCTACTCTTTCTCTCTTCTTCTTT